TATATATATATAAACCACACTCTTCCAATAAAACCAAACTCAGACATAAAAATGAGACATAAACTCACCAGCACCATAGAGAACAGGACTCTCAGTAAGGACCATTATTTCTTTGCTACATCAGTGAAACTCCACAGATGTCAAACAACAGCACTTGCAAAACAAGTACTTTTGTTTGCATCACACTCCAAAACATCAGGCTTTAAATAAACAACCCTGGAATGTGAACGAAGCAGTCGATGTAAGGGATCAGACAGTCACCCCGGTGCATTCCCGCTGACGTCTGTGGAATTCCGCCCAGGATTAATCCAACCCTGGGTTCCTGAAAGTTAAAATAGCATCTGCCTTTCCCAGGCAGCAGCTTTCGCTGGAGCTGGGAGCACTTTTCCTTGTGGAGTTTCAACATGGAGCAAGAGCTTTCATGAAGCAAATGTCACCAAGACAGGTGGTAAAATGGCACCGGTCTTCGTGGCTTGTGAAGGCAGAAGCTATTCTTAAAGGGCAGATTCTTTTATATTGAGGGGTGCTATGATCTCTAGAATGTTTTGTCACCAGTAATAAGTTGCTGTAACACTCCTAAAGTGGGATTTTTCTGGTTTTTAAAGATTATATCATAAAATACCAAGGTCCCTTTTACAAAACAAGCAAGAGGAAAAAAAATCCCCAAATCTGACCAAGATATTCCTGAGCTTCTGAAATTCTTTAGGGTGGTCTTGTTGTGACAGCCCTGTGTCCATAGATGAAGTGCGTTACTCCCAGACCCCTGGGAACCTCTGTCCCACTGACTTATTCATCATGGCTGGTGAACAAAGGATGGCCTTCGGCATCAACCCAAAGTCAAACTCCCTTTTTTTGGGAATCAAACACATTTATCACTTCCCAGTGGTCTCTTTGCAAAAAACAAGCAACCAAACCAACTCCCTCTCATGTTTAGCTGATGCTAATCATGGTCTATATCTGACCCATAACAGGACACTGCAAAAGTGAGAGGAGACTCATCTACCAAACCAGTTCCAGCACAGTGCTTGCAGGCATTTGGGACTGGATCTATCCTGGTTTCAGCTCTGGGTTTGGGCACATCCTGCCCTTCATTCTGCACTCTCTGCTGTATAGCAATCATCTGCCCTGAAGAAACCTTAGTGGCCATGTGTCAGAGCACAAGACTGGGAGCTGCTCCATTCCTACCCCTTGGACATGCCGCTTTAGCCAATATAACTTCTTCTGGTTTAATCCCAATGCCATTGAGTAGCAAGTGCTTTGTGATATGAAGGTGCTGGAGAGCAAACCATAATCAAAAATGTCACAAAGCAGGGATGCAGCTATTCAAAATACATTCTGCTACTGTTTGTCCTGAGACCTTCATTGCTTTTTGCCTTCTCTAAGCCTGTTTGAGCATGATGGCTCCTTGGGATGGTCATGTTCAGAGCATTTCTGGCATTTAGAGTCAGCTTATCTCACTGAAAGTCAGACCTGAGTGGACTACCTAAACTGCCTTTGGGCACGGGGATTTTCTATGGTGTGATTCATCAGATCCATTATGGATGTCTTGCTTGAGATGAGATGAATCCCACCATGGAAATCCCTGTTTGTTCCCCACGGCTATGTACAAAGACAGCTGACTTGCTTAGATATTCCATCCTTGCAGAATACTGGAATTATATGGGAGATGAGTCCCACCATGGTCTCATCTTGTCTTAGTCACTTTAAAGGTAAATTTAACCACCTACAACTTAAAACACCCTTCACCAGCAGCAGATTAACACCTCCCAGGGGTAGTTCAACCCACCCTAAGAGGGGAGTCTGAGGTGAATTAGTCTCCAAAGGTTTCTGCTACTGTCACTGACATGAAGAGTGCCTCTGACTGTCCCACCATGCCCTGAGCTATCACTAGAAGAATGCAATTACACCCCAGCAAACAGAAATCTTCTAATAGCAGGATGTAGTTTTTCTTATATTCAGTCCACGTTAATGGAGAAAAGTTCCCCCAAATACACTTCTTTATTTCTTGTTGGTAGAGGTATTATTATTATCATTTTTACTATTATTATTCCTACTACTACTATCATCATCATCACAGGAATAAAAATAATTGTATCACTTAGTCGGTACTCTTGGGTTTGTTAGATGCCAGGAAATGCTTTTGGCTCTGTGCAAGACAAATAAATATAGGTCTGCTCTAAACCAAATTGATTTCATTCACTTTTGAACTGACAGAGACTTCAATTTGAGTCATGGCTTTCAAAGGACTCACTAAAGCCAAGCCCTGCACAGAGCTGAAATAGGACATATTCTCAGTAAAAAGTGGGATCTAAGGTCTATCTTGTCACACAGTATTTCCTTTCCTTTTCAATTTACCAGTCACCACATCTTCCATAATCACTTAAAGTATCATTTAAGCCAAGCTAAAGTTCAATGTGATAAATGCCAACTCTTAAACCTCAAACAAATACAGACAAAATACCCCAGTGAAATACTGAATTATTTTAAAAGTCTAAAATTTCTTCTTTTAAACTACTTTAACATCCTCTGGAGATTAGAGCCATGGGGGTCCTCAAGGTATAAAAGGTGTTTCTGGGTTGATTTAATCTTATAACAAATCACAGCAGTCAAGTTAGGAATTTATCAAAGATTGAAGATAAATAACAGCCAATATGAGGAATTCCCTAACACTGAAGTTGATCTTCATGACTGTTGAAAAGCAGAACTGAAGAACTTTTCATCTTCTCGCTGGCTCTATCTTCATGCATGAGACGTATAAGAAACGTTTTCCTAATGAGGACTCATCAGTGGTGTTCACTCAGGAAAAGGAACAATCCATGTATCCAGACACAGAAAACAGCTTAGCAGGAGGTTTCATTTTCAAACATTTACATAGTACTGTACATATTATATATGTATATGTATGCATGTATATGTACAATATGTACACATTACATTAAACAGCAATTATGCAGGGAAATTAACTCTTTCTGCAAAGACTGCAGCTGTTTGAGAGCTATTATGTTTTAAATGATGGAATTTGCTGTCAGTTCCTAAAAACCTGTGATAAACAAAGACAGCCCTCCCAGGATATTTCTAGGACACATGGATTTAATCTGTCAGGAGTCCCACTAACAGACCAGCAACTGCTCATAGAAAAGTGAAACTGAATACTCAGCTCATCTGCTGTGTCACATGCTGGGACCTGTAATTCAGTTCATAATAACCTCAAATTGAAGACATAGATTTGTTGGGCATCATCTTAAAATCAGATTGTCTCGCAGGATGTGACAAACCCAAGCTTGCACTGTGCTGCTACATGAAAAACACTTCACAAACCATTATAAAGACCAATGCGCTTTATACACACTAGAAATTACACAGTAAGGCACACACATGTCTTATAAAAGCTCACATGCATATTTAACTCTTCCCCACTTACCTGATTCCACAGCTTCTTTCACCATCACAGCACAGTAAGGGTTAATCACCTCCCCCTGGGATGGCAGGTAAGGGCCACTGTCATAGTTGGATAAACCAATGCGCAGAAAGGGAGACATGACAAGTCCTGTGTCAAACAAAAGACAGGAGACAGTTGGGAAGAGCCTAAAAATTCCCTTGGTTTTAACCAGCCTCTTATCTCCGTCGGACAGGAATAAGCCAGCCCTTAGTTATCCATCCAACTGGAGACTCTCTGACTTCCTCCACTGTCTAGCAAGATGATGGACTGACCGGGTGCTGCTTAATGTGTGTAAAGTAGCGTAACTCAGCTTAACTGTGCAGCTGAACTCATTGCAGGGCTGGAAAGACCTACAACAGCAGCTTTGAGTACTGGTGACTTGACACCAGTCATCAGGAATGACAATACACAGAAGCCAAATCAGGACTTTCTTAGCTGGGATAACCCCTGCTGTAATCGATGTTGAATCATGAGCTCAAGAACCCAAATGCGATGAGAATAGAAAGGGTTTCGGGAATACAAGGCAGCTGGAAGCCTGCAAGCTGAACATGAAACTGTGAAATAACTCTGTACTATTTATACACAGCAGGAAAATGATCCCGGGCATTCAACTGCCTGGGTGCTGACCCATATTCATAAGTGAAGCTATAAAGAGAAAATTCAGCTCATATGAAGTCCACTGTGTGGAGAGTGGAGCAAAAAGGGATCTTAGGATAGTTTTAAGCAGCTGGAAACAGGAACATATGAAATGAAGATGCCAAGAAACACAAAAAGCCTTTGGGTTGGTGTTCTCTGTAGGCTCTTTCAGAGCTTTCAGACAAAAGATTCAGTGAAGACAGAAGTTATTAACTGCTGTAGCTGGTGCCCATCATTGCACCATCTGAGCACAAGGACTGGGATTTACCACCCAACTTTAGTGTGAACTTCTGGGCTTGTTGTTCCTGGCTCCCCTTTTAGCCAATGGGAAGCAAACAGGAACTTTGAACTCAGCTGCAGATGTCTATGCCTTGGACCACCAAAGTTAAAAGTCCTATCACCAGCTGTCAAATACATTGACAACAATGCATTGTTCAAATACGACAGAAAACCATTGAATGACCTGTGGTGTAGGGCACAGCCCAGGTCTCTTCTTCTTACACATAAAATGCTCTATCCCAAGAGCAGCTTCTCCAGCCTCACACAGAAGAAGATCCAGATTCTTTGCTGGGAATGGCATTTTCTTACCTGAAAATGGTGGTTTTGTGACAGACAAATTCAGTCTCTGGCAAGAGGGGCTTCTCTTTTCATCACAGTGGTGGACAACATGGAAAGGATTTTCTCAGCTGAAAGAATGAGGATAACTGTTCCTCTGGCTGGGCTGACTTTAAAGCTTGGACACTCTGTTCAAGGAGACAGGAGGCAAGACCATCAAAGAGAGAGGAAAACTTGAGAAACCAAGGTGCAGACCTTTGCTTGAGTGTCTTGTCTCCTACCCAGCAGTGTGGAGTGATGAGTTTCCATCAGCTCCCTGTGCAAAAGTCTAGGGCGGCTGTAAAAGTACAACTTTCTGCTATTGTGTGGCCAGGTCACAGCAGGTTCTTGTTTTGCTTTTGTCCTGGATATGATGAGTTCTTCTTCCTGTTGTATAAGATGAAGACAAACAGCTACAGTTAGCACAGGGACTGAAACACCAACTTTTCTGGCCCTAACATTCACAGGTACTGACACTGCAGCACTTCCTGACACTTTGGCAAACAGATGGGTCATAGGCTATTCTTTGATAGAGATTTCAGCAATGGAGGCTTCCCAGGAGGTTTCCCTAAATTTGTTGCCCTAAATAAAGCCAATCTATACAATGGACAGCATAGGAAAACTCTCCTTCCCATTGCAGCTCCGAGGTAGGTTTGCTAAAAACTGCCTTTTCAGGAAAAGAACAAAGACACATAAACCCTATTGGATGCTGTGCTTAAAAGAGAAGCAGCCCATATAGTTTCTGGGGAAGAGAGGATAAGACAGAAAGACATGTGGCTCATGTCTAGTGTGTATCCCTTGGAATGCACAGATCATGGGCCACCAACAGCTAGCAGACCTCCTCCGAAGACCGTCCAAGGACCTCTGTATGTGGCACTGCCCTCAACATCAGTACTCTGGAATTTTACAGAAGCTATAGGGGAAGACAAAGCACCACCAGGGTTGGATGCAGGAGATCAGGATAATTCTGTTCCCCTCTGGATGAGGGCAGCATCTCCCCGAGGGATGTTTCAGAAATACATTAGCCAAGTGCCTCATGAACTTGCCCTAGAAAGCCCTTTAGAATCATAGAATCCCAGGTTGGAAGGGACTTCAAGGATCATCTGGTCCAACCTTTTTAGGCAAAGCATGACCTAGATTAGATATCCCAGCCCCCTGTCCAGCTGAATCTTACTAGTGTCCAGCATTGGGGAATCCACTACTTCCCTGGGGAGATTATTCCAATGGTTGGTTATTCTCATGGGGAAAACGTGTGGCACTGCACAATAGTGCAGTGAATGGTTTGTGAGTGGTCCAAGGCACAGAAAGTGCTAGAAGCAGAGACACCTGATCAAGTTAAGTAAAAAAATCTCTTTAACAGGAACAAAGATATGTATAGATATTTCCCCCCTGTTTAATGCAATTATTTAGCCATTTCCTTTGTTTCAAGTCATTAGTCTAAAGACAAAAGGAAAAGCAAATCAAAGGGTCTCTTCAGCAGAAGGGAAATCCAAGTTGCATGTTCAGTCTGCACCATGTAGCATGTATGGAAAGCTAACTAGAGCCAAAGACTAAGACCAACAGTTACAACATCTGCATCATGCCTCTTTGTATGAATGGAGATGTATTCTCTCTGCCTCTGCCATACTCCACCAATACTTCTGGTAACTGCTGGGCAAGGGAAGATTGTGTATTCTCTTCCAAATCCTCAATTCCCACACTCTTGGCTTTAAAGGGCCTATTGTTCCATGGATGGGAGCAGGAGGAAGTGCAGGGAGATCTGTAAGCACTCCAGCACCAGGACTTTCAAAACTCACCTTTGAAAACTCAGAATTACTAATCAATATCTTGGAAATCTAAAAACATGAGTGTTGCTAAAAGAAGCGACAGGTTTTTTGATGATTCCTCAGCACTAAAATGTAGGAACACTATTGGCCCAAGTACTAAAGAAACAAGATTAGGCTAAAAGCTTCTGCCTGACATTCATAGAGGCATAGAATGGTTAGGGTTGGAAATCTTCATTTCAGTGTGATCAATGTAGTTACAACACAGATAAAACTGTGAAAACATCTTGTGCTGCTAAATCACTGCTCCAAAAATCACTGGTTGGATGTGTGACAAGATACCTTGATCTTCAGATCTGTGGATCACAGATCTTCAGGTCCATGCATCACTCCCCTAAACAGTGACATTTAAAACTTTTCTTAGTCTTTAATGCTGGATACCCTCTCCTTCCTCTCCAGTGCACTACTTCATTTTAGCTCTGTGCAATCAAGTACTTCATGAAAGAGGTTTCCCAGAGAGGTTGTAGAGCCAAAAGCTGTCTGGACATAGTCCTGGGCAACCAGCTCTATATGGACCTGCTTGAGCAGAAGAGTTGCACAAGATGAACTTCAGAGGTTCCTTCCAAGCGCAATAAGCCTGTGATTCTGTGATAATATGGGTAAGACAGACCTCACCTCACCTTAGGTGTCTACAGCATCCATGTTTCCTGGTCTCCCAAGAGAGGAACAGAGACTGGCATCCTCAGATCATGAGCTAGACCCATTTTAGACCCTGTGTTAGCATGTGATGAACCCATTTCTCTCCTTTAGAGCAAAGGAGAATGCCTGAGGATGATCTGTTTACTCAGTACTCACTGTACTCACAGTATTCACTGTAGAGATCTGGTTTTGATCAGATTCCTCAGGCCATTAAACTTCCAAAAATCTCCTGCACTGTATGAGATCCAAAAGACTGTTTTCTACCCATCCACAAAGCATGTAGGTTTGGCACATCTAGTGTTAGCACTAGCAAATAGACCTTGCCCATGCAAAGGCATGGCTGGCTAAAATCAGTTTACTGTTACACCAGTGAGCACGTTGCCCTGGGGTGAATTCCTTCACCCTGCCCAATAAATCAGACAGATAACTGGTTTCCTGCTTCTCTCTTACTGTCTTTCCTGAAACCACCTTGGCTTTGGCCCAAACATCTGTTTTCCAGGTCCTATCTCCAGCGTTTGCTACTACAGGACTGCTACTTGGCTTGCATCCACAGCCATAAACAATTAAGGAACAACATAACTCAGCTCCAGCAACCTCTCGCTGTAATAGCAGCAGTTTAATTTAACACTAGAAGCAGCTGCAATGGATATGAAGAGTGTCTGCTTAATTTCCCAGTGGAAACGATACTATAAGTTATCTGAAAACTAAGGATGAAATGCATCTTTCTATAAAGGGCCACCTGCAACCTCTCCTCCAGTAAAACATTAAATGCAGTGTAATTGGGATACAGCCATGTTGCAGCCTGTTTCGCTGGCACAGGGAGTTTTGCCCACTCCAGAGAATGATACAACATATGGAAATCATTCCCAGATGATATTAGGAAGTAATAAACTCCTTAATATCCTTAATCAAATGTGATTAAGGAGAGAGGAAGGAATGAGGTTCGGCTCGTAAGTTAGCGGAAGAACAGTGTTGAGGACAGATGCTTTTAGTGGGATTTATGATTTGTGTTCCATTGAATGAAAATGGATGCATGAATGATGCAGCAAAGATAGCAGTTTGCTGAATGAGGGCCAACTGGGGGGAGGGGAAGTTGTTCTGGACTTGAGATGCTGCTTTCCTAATGTCATCAAACTCATTTTCCAGAGGTCAGAGGGAATCTTTCCAGCTCTCTCCCCTTTTTGAGGCAAAACTGTGCATGCAAAAAAAGTTCATAATCTGAGGATCAGCATCACCAAGAGGGAAAGGAACCAAGAGTTACAGCTGAAGGGGATGAACTTTCCTTTACCCCCTGAAAGGCATCTCCGAGCCAAAAAGGCAGGTCCTGACCCTGCAAAAAGCTGTTCGTATAGCTGGTGGAGACCTGCACTTCAGCATAACTCAACACATCTCAGGGTCTTCCTGCCAATTTCAAGAGCAGCACTCACAACCAGCAGTGGTGGACTCCTCATATCCCAATAGGGAACAGGGATCTAAATAACTCCTTTCAGTTATGTTCATTTTGGGTGCCCATGTCACCCATTATTTCAATGGAGATCAAACCAGACTGTTCACAAAGGAGGAAGTTCAGAACCCCACTGGGTTCCACTCAACACTTCCCACACTTTCCTTTTACGAGGATGTGGATCAAAGAAGAAGGAGGAAAAGGCAGGGAATTTGCATAGTCATTTAATTTTCCTTCTTTCCAAAGTCAGCCAGCCCATCTGCAGCATCTCACAAAGGCAGTGAGGGTACAGAGTGAGGAAAGGCAGGACAACAGTCTCTGATGGGACTGGTGTAATACCAGACTCCACACAACTAAAGAGCCTCCCAAAACTTCATGGAAGAACTCCGTTTCAAAACATAGGTGATGCTCTCCACATAAACCCTTCCCCATCACTTGCAGACACAGAGGACCCAGGTAAAACTATGTGGAAATGAGTCTTGGAGACTTTCTGGGAGCCAATGGCAGGCATGGAGCAGCTATTTCCCTTTAAAAGTCCCTGGGACATCTTGTGATGCCATGCTTAGAGCACACTGCATGTACCTGTAACAGGACCTGTTCTCCTATATATAGCCTACACACAAGGCTGTTTGGACTCTGCTGAGTTCACGTGGTTTCTTCCTGTTGCATTTGTTGTGCACAAGCCAAGACTTGAACCTCAGGACTCTTTTCAGACCTTTATGTGATGAGCTACAGTAGAGATAATGCAGGTAAACAGATCTACAGCTGTGGAAGGGTTGGTATTGATCCCACTGGGGGAGATGCAGAAAACTGCTGCTGGGAATGCCAGTGGTCATTGCATACATCCATGGATTCCAGGACAGAATCTACCACTGTTCTAGCAGATACATGTATAGCTGGGTCTTTAAAATCATGAATCTGTGCTTTGCTATCCTTAGGTCTCTGCATAGTAACTGCTTTAACCTGACCTAAATGCAGGCCATGTACTAAGACATGGTACAGCTTTCCACCCCATCTCACAATGTAGTTCCCAACCCCTTCCAGCACATCCTGGTGTCTGTGTAGGGTATGGAATCAGGGAACAGATTTCTCTCAAAGCAGCCCTTCGTTTCTTTACTTGACAAGCTAGTTTGCAGCTGCATCCATTCCCTGATCTGACTGATCCAGCACAGATGTGGGGACCTGTATTAAGCAGGAGTGATGACATAGGGGATAGCATGGAGCAACTCCATTTTAGCTGGGATAAAGAGACAAGAGGGAAATTGTAGCCTTGGTGTTGGTGAAGAGATTAAGGATTAAGCATTCTCATGAATATATGCAGACAACTGTGGTGCACATATGAGCTATCACCCCAGCTCCCATTGTAACCAGTAAAGGGATATAAGTACCCGTAGGG